GTCGCTTTCCCTTTCTCTGCCGTCACACTATGTAAACCCTAGTCCAACTAATTAGACTTGTCAAAGAGACACCGAGATAATTTTGGACGGGCGCTGTCTTTTTCCAAAGACAACCGGTAACGGTTTTAATTGACAGTAAGAAAAAAAAGTCTGTAAAATGGGTCAAACCGTTCACGCCAAATTAATTAGGCTACAAGGTTTCAGTCAAAGTCTTCATAAATGATACTGGGTAATTCCTTGACCAATACTGTTTCAAACGGCCTCATTGTAACACATTGGAAGAAGGGCAAGCTAGTCAAATCGGCCCCAAGTCAGATCGGCCCCAAGTCAAATCGGCCCCAAAATAAGTCAATTCGGCCACAAAATTAGTCAAATCGGCCACACAACAATTTTAAAAAGTCAAATAGGCCCCAAAACGAGTCAAATCGGCCCCAAAACTAGTCAAATCGGCCCTAAAGTTATTTTTTTGAAAAATCCTAGTTTGGTTAAAATAATGTTATTAGCCAAAAATTACAAGATAATTAACTGAGAATTGCACTTTAACAAAAATGTACCAATTAAAAATAATTCATTACAAAATTGAGACAGTTTTGATGCTAGTGATAATTGTTATTGATGTAATTATGCAGGTGTGCTATGGTTGTTGATTGATTTCTACATTTAATTACAATTAAATATCTTCATATAAAGGTCGATCTACGTTTTGAAGATAAATAATTCTGTGAAAAACAAACATTTATCACGTGTCTTTAATCAATTCAGTCATTGTCTCAAATAATCATGCATTGAATTCGGCTTTTTAACAAACAATTTTGTGCGAAGTGAATTTAATCAGGTATGTATAAAAAGGTTGATTTTTTTAGCAACATTCAAAATTGTATTTTACTTGTTTACTGTTAGTAACTCAGGGATCTTTTGTGCATTGATTATTTTCCTTTAATTTTGGAGATTAGTTACGTTGTTGGAATTAATTGTAAAATAGTTCTTTTTAATAACTTTAATAAATTAAAATATTGTGAAAAGTGTTGTTTATTGAAAATGACTGATAATTGTATAGACTGTGGAAGTGTTGTGCGGAAACGGCAGGAGGCCGTCACTTGTGATGCTTGTGACAGATGGCAACATAGGAAGTGTAATACCGGTGAGTTACTTTAATTGACAAACTTATCAGGAGTAAAGATATTGCCGTTACATTTTATTTAGTTTATTTATTAATTTTAGTCTCATCTGTGTACAAAAATGTATAAAATTTATACACATATATATGCAAATACAGTACACATTACATGTGAAAATATATCGTCATAACTAACAGCTATAAATACTTAAAGATATACTTAAAGATGTTGAATTAATTGCCATAGCAAAAGAAATTTTTGTTTGTTTGTTTCATTTTACGCCTTTTTCAACAGTATTTCAGTCATATAGGCGGCAGGCAAAAGAAATTAAAAATATTCAATTTCAATTCAAATATATTTATTCACCCAGATATTAATAAAATACATAAGGGGTTTACAAAATAATATTTTACAATATATATGTTCCGGCTGTAAAGTCCTGAAAAGATAATGTAGTATTAATAGTAGTCATTTAGTTATTATTTAACAGAAATAAAAAAAAATAATGTACATTTTTAATGTTTTAAAGAAAGAAATAAAAACATTTTTATTTCTAAATAGAGTAGTTTTTAAATTGAATTATAGTTTATTGATAATTCAGTTTCAGATTCAGTTTTAATTTGGTAAATCGGCATATTTAAGATACCATTGGCCAATTTAACAAATACAATAATAATAAAGTTGCAATGCTATTGGATTAACGAATGTTTGATGCAATTAACGATGATTAAGTGTGAACAATGTGCTACCTGATTAAACGTGACGTGATGTTCAAACTTAATTTGATTTGTCGCACATGAGTGGATATAGGAACACGCAGACAATGTAGATATCATATATGAATATATAATTTGGTATTTAATTGATGACCATTGTATCATATTCTTTGCTTTCTGATATTACAAAGTAGACAGTTGTTTTTAAGTAAATGAGATGATAAAATACTTGTTTGTTTTTTTAAACCAATTATATAAATCAATTTTGATTCATCCTGAATTAAACTTTCTTTTTTTTTTGCTTAACTGCTAAATTTGATTAAATTTGTGGCATTTCTAGAAGGTATATAAACGTTAATTCTCAAACTTTCCCTTTATAAAAATCTGTATATATAACGCTTGAATTTATTATATCATGATTTTTTGGTGCATGTATTATAATAAAAATACATGTATACAGTTAAACTTCGTTCGCTCGAACTCGGATCGCTCGAATACCTCCCTTCGCTCGAACTCATCGCCCAGTCCCGGCAAAATTCCTATATAATATATATTGTTCTACCTCGGATCGCTCGAACACCGATCGGTCGAACTCTCGAACCTGATCTCTGGTCCCTTGAGCAGATATATAGTAAAAATCACACCTTTTCGGTCGAACACAAAAAGACAAGTCGACATGTCCTAAATAAATGACAGTCGGCGACACATGTTTTTAACACCTCGTAATCGTGACAAAGGCAATAAAGGTTAATTGAAACAAAATAAGAGGTGTTGTAACCGATTTGTTTGTTATGATAATATTGTTGATTTGCCGTTTAGGGTAACGATAAAAAGAAAATAACTCGTGAAATAAGTGAAATATGCAAAAGTCAATACAGAATGACGTTTACCCGGACGGCTTTAATTACAACCGTAGTTCATGTAACGTGAATTGTAACAGTGTTATCTTTTAATAGATTGATACTTGTTCGTGTGTTTATTTTAGTAAATGACTACAAATAAATGCTGCTGTCAAACTTTTCTTAAATATTTCATTAATTTATACTTTTTTTAAACTAAATTAATCCTATTATAAAAATATAAATATATTTTGAACATTGTTCAACAAGTTTGGTCTGATTGCTCAATCGAACTCAACCAATTACAAGATTAACACAACGTACCGTTAATACTTAATTGGGATAATAATTCTGAATATGACGACGAACAGATGTACTAACAAACAATTATATTGACGTATTTATCATTCGACCGATGTATGCTAGAAAACCTTTAGGCATATGATCAACGTAATAATAGTTCGACCTCGGTTGGCTCGAACTTCCGATCTCTCGAACAAATTTGCACAGGCCCTCCGAGTTCGAGCGAACGAAGTTCGACTGTATGTATGTTGAGATGATGGTTATTAAGCCCCATTCAGAACTAAAGTATACGTTCTGTTATGAAAAATACTTATTTAACATAACATAACATAATCTTTATTTGGCATAAAATAGCATGAGCATACATATAGCCAATATACTTCCAATTACATTTGAAAAGGGATAAATGTGTTACAAACATAAATTAACCTCTTAAAAGTTATATATTTTCAGTTCATATAATTCTAAATATTTTTTAATTCTCTTTTTTGAAATGCAAAGTATAATTATTTTGATAAATTGATAATTTCTTTAGTTAATTACTGTGGAACTATTTGGTGTTATATAAGTACAGCACAAATAAATTTATAGAAATCTCCTTCCAATTAAAGAGTGTTACGTTTAATCAGGTAGCATGTTGTTCACACTACATTGCTTCAAATTAGCTGTTTATAAGATAAACGTATCCGACACATCTGGATATATTATATATTAATTTAATCCAGCTAAATCTTAATTCTTTAAATAAAAAAAAACTATTATAAAAGAACTTATTAAAAAATCAAAATTAATAAAAATATATGAACAACAACTTAAGACGTCCGCGATTTAGACTGTGCCGTCTTTAAAGCTGAAGTGATCACATTTAATGAGTAATTCTACTTACCTTGATTTCATCTCTGTATCTATGCATAAACTTTTTTTAAAAGTAATTATTACATATTTTAGGTATATCACAGACGCAATACAGAGATGCCATACGTGGGAACACTGAGCTGTTGTTCACATGTCGCGGATGTCAGCAATTGCGTGAGCATGCTACTTCTGCCTTAGAAGAGTCCATGGAAACAGAGATGTCAGCTTCGGTTGAGTCCATGGAAACGGAGATGTCAGCTTCGGTTGAGTCCATGGAAACAACAGAAAACAACGACAGCATAGTGTCGGTTGAGTGTGAAAGGTCATACCAGGAACCAAACGTCGTGCATAACAGGTAAAAAATTGATACATATACATTCTTGTATGATGCTACAAACGTAGAAAAAAATAAGTGGACCTTAATTACATAATGATGATATTGAAGAACAGAGAATGTTCTATTAGTATATATTCTTTTTGATACTACAAACCGTTTCCTTAAAAAAACATGTTCTATTAATATATATTCTTTATGATACTACAAACCGTTTCCTTAAAAAAAAATATTGATCAATACATTTTTACATATCCATGAAAAGTAAAAGTAATCATTTTTTTCTACATTACAGGTCATATGTTGACAGGCCGCCGTCAGCATCACCAATGCCAGATATTCCCATAACATTCGAAGTGATATCAAAAGGTTCACAGCATGGGAAAGATCTCCTAGAAGACTCGCACGGTTATTGCTACGTCATAAAGGTAGATTTTGTATTTTTGTCCTAGAATAATTCTGTTCATTCACAGGAACGTCGTCCAAAGTCTACGGTGTGGAGGTGCTCTTTTTGTCCTAGAATAATTTTTTAAGTCAGTAAAACGAATATGCAGATATACAAGTCACCCACTTCTTTAAAAAGAAACATGTTAATTTATGAAAATCACGATAACAATGTTTTTGATACCGTATTTGGTGCTATTTGTTTGTATTTTAACTGCATCAAGTAATATGCTAATTAAATTGTATCATGTTCAAGAAGAGTATACTTTTTCTTTAATCACTTTTCTACCGATTTTTTTTTGTATTGATAATTCTGTTCATTCACAGGAACGTCGTCCAAAGTCTACGGTGTGGAGGTGCTCCGTCCGTAACAAAGCAGTGAAGTGTCCAGCTGGTGTTCGTAGCTATGACAGGAAGGACAAGTGCGGATTATGAGCACGTATTAAAAGTAAGTAAAAACAGTTTGAAATCAAATTTAGCTTTTGGAAGATTTTCTGTGAAAAACTAAATAAAATAAAATTATGCAATCAGTAAATTTTACAACTTTGCTGTTTTAGGCGTGTTTTACTGTTACTTTTTTTCTTTCTGTTATTTATATATGTATATATACATGTATTACAATTTTTAGGCCATCAAACGAGGTTTAAGAAATCAACAAGAGGTTGAAGAGGTAGTCTGTGACTTCGAAAAGGCCATCTGGAAAGCCATGAGGCGGGTTTTCCCGACCGTACTCATGAAGGGTTGTTCATTCCATTGGGGCCAGGCTGTTTGGCGTCATATACAGGTATAGATTTTTTTCGTTCTTATTTATTCCACTATATTTGTATATGTTTTTGAGAGATTTAGAAGTTTACCATTTTTTTTCTAAAAACGTTTATATTTCATTAAGTTGTTTGTGACTTTTTATTCTACCTCCGATAATTATCCATTCATGTATCTCATCCAAACGAAAAGAAAAAATATTGTTTTAAAAATACACCTTGTAATACATGTTCAAATCATTTGTTTATATTTTAGGGACTTGGGTTGTCCACGGAATACATGAATAACCACGGGACGTACTCTCTTCTGCGCATGATATTCTGTCTGCCTTTTCTACCCGCTGAACATATCATCGAAGTGTTCGACAAGATGGAAGATTTCAACACGTCTGAACATCTTGAACCATTGTTCCAGTACCTTAGAAGAACGTGGTTCGAATCCTCAACGTGGACTGTCGAAAACTGGAGCGTATTTGGACAGTCCGTCCGAACAAACAACGATTGCGAAGGTAAATTTAATATTGCAATGTATAATGATACAATGTATATAAATTTTAGTAAAATTGTAAATGTTATCGACATTTGAACATTCGACATTGGAACATTCGACCGATGTCCAGGATTGTATTAATAAATGTAGCAGCTAAATATTTTGTTACAAACATTTTATTCCAGTTAAATATATAGGGGTCTGTATGTTGTTTTTAAGATTTATAACTCAGCTAGAAACATTATTTATTATTTTGTATATTTGCAGGATGGCATCGTCGTCTGAATATCAGAGCTGGGGTGTCGCCGACTTTCTACAATTTGATTAAGCTATTGTACAAAGAAGCAAGATTCGTGGAATCACAAGTGCGGTTTGTGTCTGAGATGAAGCTGCGACGAATGCAAAGAAAGACTTACAGATCGATGCAGTCGCAGATATTTCAAGCTTGGGACAGGTAAATGTGATTTTTTTTGGTGTCTTATACTAAAGTGACATAACGACCATTTTTTTCGATGTCAAGTTGAATTTCATTAGTAATATATTTGAACAGAGGCTAGTATAATGATCACAAACTGATAATTGATGATGAAAAAAGTGTGTGATACAATATAGATATAATTAATGTCAATTTCAAATATGTATAATATCATTCAAATGTATATACATTTATATTACAATTGTTGGCTCCTTAATACTTTCACTTAATTTTTCTGCTTGCAGCTATCGTGCGAAACAACTGTCGGCAACGGCCCTGCTGAAGAAGGTTTCCAGTCTGTATCAACCCAGGGTGCTTAGACAAGAAGCAGAGTGATGCGCGAATAATGTTCATGCAGTGATAAGAAGTGAAGTGACAATTACATGAAAAGTGACATTTACATACTGTTCATATGTTTATAGACAATAAATAGTTTAGTACAGTTAAGATAAATGTTATACTCAGACAATAAATTATATTGATTATTATGTTTTGTTTTGGTTTTCTATGTAATCCATTGTTAGTCATTTGATATTCCAATCCACACAATTTTTTTTTATCAACATTAAAATAAGAAAATGAACAATGAATTAAGAAAAAAAAAATGGGGCCGATCTGACTTGAGGCCGATTTCGCTTGGGGCCGATTTGACTATTTTGTGGCCGATCTGACTTGGGGCCGATCCGACTTGGGGCCGATTTGACTGTAATTCGAAGAAGGACATAAAAGTCAACATTTACTTTCAGACAATTAATCGGGTAATATTAAGTCTAATAGACAGGTGTAGCAGTAGGCATTTATCAATTAACAGTAATCATTAAACAGTCGCTGTAAGCATTAAGCAGTTTAAAATAAGCAGTTGACAGTAGGCCTGCCGTTGACAGTAAGCAGTTGACAGTTGGCAGTTGACAGTAAACAGTAGGCTGTCGTTTGTGGAATTCCGTAAAAAGCCGTTGTCAGCACTTAGTGGCATTCTACCTAAAATATAAGAGAACCAGTCTACATTCCTTGCACATGCGCAAAGAAAGATGTAAACAAATCCAACAATTTGGTTGTCGGACAAGATTAAAAGTTGTATTACTGCATAAAACGCTACATTCTGTCTATCGAATAATCAAACTTGTCATATGAGATTTACTCCTAATTTGCTGTTAGTATTGTTTTAGATAGCATTTTAAAGTTGTATATAAACTGTCATTTAATTTATTTGTAACTGTGGTCGCGAAAACTAATAATTTACCTTTTGATAAGTGGAGATATTTTGAATTTCTTCTTCATTATTGCAATAAATACTTGCACATTTTGTTCTCCTGGGTTTTTATCGAGTTGAGCTATCCTTTGTGTGAATAAACAATTGGTTATTTAGAAATTTTGTTAGAGGAATTACTGTTAAAAAAGGTCCAGATAGCATGCTATAGCATGGAGCTCTGTTAGTCCAACTAATTGTACTGCGCGACGAGATATTGTGCTATTTTCGTGTCTGGGCAATATCTTGCCTCTAAAGCGAGATTCTGCCCCAGAACGAAATTATCTCAGAATCAAGCTTTGGCACGTCAATATATTTTGACTAGGAGCTCTGTGTTAAGTTTCGAACATAAAGACTTGAAACATTGACCTTTTCGAAAACCTAGCTAAACACCCTTTTCCGGTACGTTACCGTTTTAGCTCTGGTGAATTACGCCTAATGAAGTACATAACACAGTTTAATTCGAGATATGTCTATTTTTCTATCATTATTTAACCGTTTAATGTGAAAAAATTGATTTTTTTGAAAATAATCAATATTCGTTTAATATCTATTGCAAATTATTCAAAAAAATAAATTGTTTATAATGAAAATCAATAAAATTCAAACAGACGTAGTGGAATCTTCCATAATAAAAAAGGTTATTTTCTGTGTAAACTGTGTATTTACTTTATTTTTTGTATGGAATTATTCATACAATGATATTTAATTATTTTCGTATAAAGAAATAACTGTTTTATTTCAGTTTATTTTTAAAAAAAGCCGAAAACATTGAGTTCGCTTTTACACTCCATTAGGTGAATTCCCCAGAGCTATGTACAGAAAGTACCGGAAAACGGCGTTTAGCTAGGTTTTCGAATTTGTGAAGAGCCAAAAATCTAAAGAAGTCGTTAACATTTTATACTAAAAAATTGAAATGAACTTCCCCATATAATGAATTTAAATTAATAAATAATATAATGGACACTCGCATGACATTACAACAAAATTATACCTGAAAAATTGAAATGTAGGCAACAAATAATATGAAATTAGACAAAGCCTATGAACGGGAAAGTCGTTAAAAATTCCTTTCATTTTTCTGTTTTAAAGGTGTCAACTGTCTGTATTTCATGCACCGCTTTCGTTTTCACTCGGAACACTCGATGATTATAATTAATCCGAAAAGTTGAGATTTTTTCCGTTATAGGAATACACCGCCTATTATCATTGAGTTACTTTGTAAATGGTGGCACCTAACTATAACTGACACTGAAAATTTCATTGATAGGTATAGAATTCTATATATTTTTAATTGTTTTTTATTTGATTTTCTTTTAAATATACATGTGTAGTCTATAGCCGGGAAAGCCAAAGCCAGGGCCCGCAGACCTCTTAGTGTTATCATAACTTAAATTGCAAGTATATAATTATTCATTTATTATTTAATAATGAACCTAGATCAGCAAATGTCTCAAGTTTATTTTCTTACAATATCTCAACTGCCCATTTCAACTGAATGAATGAAAGTTATAGCCGGCTAAGTCATATTATTTTATAAATATTTATTCATTTTCAACTTTTCTTCTGGTCTGGATGAGTTCGGATTGGGTCGGTCTATTTACCCCAAGACACCCCAAGACTATCCCAAGACACCCAAAGACTACCACAAGACATCCCAAGAATCTTCTTAATGGAAATTAACTTATAAATTGGAAAAGTTTTATAAATATACGACCCTGTAGGAGATAATCTCAGGGGAGTAACTAGGTACAACTGATATCATTATTGGAATTAACTCCATGGAGTTGTGTGGCAGGTTGGAATTAAAAAAATAAGATGTTATTCTTGTGTTTCTTCAATCATATTTTAATAATATGTTTGTTTGTATGTGTTTGTATGTGTTAACTAAAAATATAGCTTGAATTACATAGCAGCAACATTAATGTTTGAAAAGTAGGAAAAGTACAATGGTCAATTAACAAATGTATAAGTTTAAAGATATATTTCACTTGAAATAAAAAACAAGGATTTCAAAAAAATATAAGAACATTTAATCTCTTTTTTTTTTTAATAAAATATGTAAACAAAGTCTTTATTCTCTCAACAAAATGGCATGGCAACAAACAGTAACACTTGAATTCACTTTTATTAACAATCAAAATTATATTATTTATTTTTTACTTCAAATGGTTTTGAGGGTAGTCTTTGGGTTCTTGGGGTAGTCTTGGAGTGTCTTGGGGTAAATAGACCGACCGGTTCGGATTAGACAGATTCTACTATACTACACTTGATATTGTTTAAAAGGAAGTTAAAGCACTGGTACTACATGTATTTAAAGAAGGTTTGAATGGCTTTACTATTTGTGGCAATAGTATTGATTTTTTCTAAGCTAATTTGTTTTAACCCAGCTGGAGAAAGCCCAAGAGTATTTTATAGTCTGATTTCTGATAAAATACTCTTTAATAGTGTCATAATAGTGTTCAGCAAAATACAAAACTGTAACTCAGTACTTTGTTTGGAACATCATCATTTCCTTGCAATTAAACTGCATGAACAAACAACTTTAGTGAAACAGTTAATAATGTTGGGTAACATTTTCATACTGAAAAGAGAAAAGAGCAGTAGTCTAAGTAATCTCACTAATCCTTGCTACTTTTCCATCTTACTAAATCTTAAAACTATAATATAACAGTGTTCAATCTAGAATAAATTCCCAGGGGGCCTTTTGGGCCCATAAACTTTTCAAAAGGGGGTCATTTGAGAAAAAAGGGGGCCCACACTTAAAAGAACATCAAATTCAAATAAGGTATTGTTTCTTTTAAGTTACTTGTTTACGTACCATATATAGACCAAAAACGGTTGAAAAATTCCAAAACACTCAACTCACTAAAAAATGACATTATTTTGACCTTTTTTGAGAGTTCTGTTAGCGTTGATACAGGCTCAATTTTAAGAACTGATTGGTAAAGAAACAATGACATAATGTTCAAAGAAACGTATGAATCTTATTTTAATGTTACCAGGGATATTTGATAATAATGTTCAGTTCTATAATCAGTGCCCAATATATAAAAGAAAATCATATTTCCCAATTAGCTTTGTTGATGAAGAATATAAACTTACAATAGTCGCTAAAAACATTTACTCTTCTCAATATATCCAAGTGAAAAAACAAAGTGTCAACAGGTGCTAAGACAATGTATATTGACATACCGGTACCTTTGATCTTCTGTCAGGGCAGCAGTTCTTACATCACACTTAAGATGTCTGTATTGATTAATGATATGCACAATGTTTTAGCGCCGACCGGCCAAAGACCAATCAAGTTTATTTACTCAATTGTCAGACACTCCCTAGCCAATTGTGTTTGATTAGCTCCATCTTTAAGACTTTTTTAATTGGATGAAGGCGTGTTCGTAATAATTTATGCACACTTCTCTATAATTAACTTGCACTTTTCACAAATATATAGTTTTTTTTTCCTCCGGAAAGTTATGACATACATGTATTTATTTGTTTTGACCGTGAAAAAACTATAACTACACGCACATATTGGATTATCTGTGACGATTTGTTTTGTTTATAAAAACTGTGACTCAAAAGTAAGTAATAGTTACGGTACGAAGAACAAGTCCAGACCCCGGCCGAGAGAGCGTAGCAATCAAGGTTTTAAAAGGGTTACCGAGTGCGGTAACTATCTTACCAACATGCTCTTGTTTTCTATACAAACTTCAGTTTTGAATTCAGTATTTATTAATATAATTCACAAGAAACTTTTTTATGTACTTAATCAGGTTTAAGAAAGCATTCTAATGTCATTTAGGGCATTTTCTATGATTGCGCCCATCGGGCCCACAGTTGAATTTGTTTTGCGCTGGAGGTCTTTTCAGGGGGTCAATGGCGCGCTCTATATTGAACACTGATATAATATAGCAAAATGAATTTTTGTAGGGAAGAAAAGATTCAGCCAGAAAATCAGTATAACAAAATCAACTGTGTTGTTTGAAAGTAAGGACATGATGTTTTATGCCATGTTAAAAGTATGAACCCACAAAATTTGATGTGTACCCCTAAAATTAGACAGACATGATGGGTACACGTACCCCCTTTTGGAAAAAAACCAGTGGAAACCCTGGATTTTTTTAGCCTTCTTTAAATTTTTTGTGTGTTTTGATCCTGATTGCTAGTATGGAAAACAAGTATATACATGTATTATTTCCAATTATTGTTCGGATATAAGTTAAATTAAAAATATTTGAATTTTTACTTGTCATTCTGATTGGTCAGGACTGAATTTTTTCTTGATCATTCCAAATTTTATAGGTCATGTCTGTCAGACCACCACTATTCAGAACAATTTGTTTCAGCAAAGGACAATAGGTATCATAAATCTAAAATGTACATCTTGCATTAGACTATAAATGCTGTTTTTGTCATTATGTTTCAGGAGATTTCCTCATGTGCTTGTATAGGTTGTCTTACTAGAAAGAATGGCAGACAATTATCATGTGCTGGAGCTTATTGGAGAAGGTTCCTTCGGGAAGGTTTATAAGGGAAGGAAGAAATATACAGGACAGGTAGTGTTGCTGACTTTCTGTAATTCTTACACACTTTTTGTAATCCGTCCTACCCCACTGGTAATATAAAGGACTTTGACATTTGGATTATGAAACCCTTGGTAAAGTCTCCCCCTTATAGGAACAAATCAGATGGCAAATTTCTCATCTGATATTCAACTTTAAGATACTGTTTCATGCTAGAAGAGACTTTAAAATCTTAAATAACTCAGTCGAGCGTAAGCAGCATTTTATATGTGGTGTTCACAATCTTTGACAAGACAAATTAAGATTTCAAGACTATAGCAGAATTGATGTACATTTTCATGACTTATGTTATTTCAGAAATTATTTTTCTCATATAATTCATTATAGAAATGGACTATCCTACTGTGGGATATAATTTCATATGACAAATTTTGTTATTTCAGATTGTTGCAATAAAGTTTATTCCAAAGGTAGGAAAGCCGGAGAAAGAGTTGAGGAATTTACGTAGAGAGATAGATATCATGAGACACCTTCATCATGAGAACATTATAGAAATGTCAGACAGTTTTGATACTGACAAAGAGGTGAGCTATTAAGTGTTCGCATTATTGTGTAAACATATCAAAGAAATCCTTAAAAAATAGCAAGGGACAAGGAAAGTACAGTCCCTTTGATAAAACACTTTCTTGTGAATTAGGAACATTGTTAAACTGTTTTGCCATTTTGAAGCTTGATTTAATGTTTAGTATTAATGAGCAATAAACAAGTAATCCTTCTCATTGGGGTGCATAATGTGCTCAGAAAATAAACCTCATTTTTTGCCATATTTTTAGGGCCAACTTATAGACGGTCTTAGTGAAAAATCTGTT